ACATGCAAATGTAGAAAGACAGTAAGAACTACACACACGTGAAGCCGTATCAGATTGCTTCAAAAAGAATTATTAGATTGAATCATCGCCGTTGCCAGGTGGATTAATTCAGAACCAAATGAATTTCCTTATTAAATAATTTTGTGATTATAAATATATAAGAACTCCATAGTGGGACGGCGGCGCGCTCGCATTGACCAAGCAAAACCAGTCCTAAAATGCCACACCGCACGATGCATCAACGTCACTCTATCTTCACTCTGTCTTGTCACTACAACAATTATGTCCTGGATTGTGCTATGATGGCACATCACCCCCACAACACATGCCCAGCGTACCCTTTCTAGTGATTTTCATGTGGCATCCTCACCTCTTTTACCAATCTTTAATTGTTGATGAAAAGAATAGGACATATAGAACTGCTAGGAAAAGTAATACTCCCTCTGTTCCTAAATATAAGCCTTTTTAGAAATTACAATATAGACTACATACGAAACAAAATGAGTAAATCTCCACTCTAAAATATGTCTATATATATCCGTATGTAGTTTGTATTGAAATATCTGAAAGAGCTTATAATTAGAAACGGAGGGAGTACATATGCATTGTGTTGTATCGAATATCCATTTTTGAGCCCAAGCTCATCTGCACCCGGTCAAGAACTAATTTCACAAAAAATTTACAAATTAAAAAAAACTATTTTTCTGCATGGTAGATAATTTGATGAGTGAGGTGCGCTTCAAATTTCAAGTCATTTGGACATATGAGTAGCTCTTAGCAAAAACGACAAATTGGGTGAGAACAATACATGAACAGTAAACGTTTTTATTGTCCCCAAATCTATCCTTTTTGCCGAGAGTTACTCAGATGTCCAAATGATCTGAAATTTGAAGCGGACCTCACGCATCAAATTATCTACTGTGCAAAAAATGATTTTTTTTTATTTTTCTACTATCTGTTTTGAATTTTTTCTTCAGCGCGGGTGCAGATGATCCTAGGCACTGAATCGCCGCTCTCATGCTTTTATGATGAAAGTAATGTGCGACAAACTGCATACTTCATGTAATATCTAAGCAAGACATAATGCAAGAATAGAGATAAAGCAAACTCAGGTAACTCAGTAGATAGTTTCACCTCTTATAGTCTTACCTAAGATGCCGGTTGGCCTCATGCACATAAACATCAGTCGGCTGTTTATCCCAGGTTTTCTTCTTTTTGTTGATCTCCATATAAAAATAGATACAACCTTCGCCTAACTTCCTTGATGACTGAATCAAGTAAGGAAAGACAACTCACGGCTATGGTGTACTATCTTCTTTCTTGAAAGAGTGTACTTTTAACTTTGTAGGAAAGTCAATTTTTTTATGTTTGACCGTACTTATACAATAGTACACAAATATTTATACCATCAAATTAGTGGCATTTGACTCATGATAAAATATATTTTCATCATATACATATTTGGTTTCACAAACATTGATATATTTTTGCACAAACTCGGTCAAATTTTAAAATAGTTTGATTCTCCAACAAAGGTGAAAGTACACTCTTTGAAAGATGGTAAGTACACCAATTCATGCCATGAGTTGAGGTAGAGCTCGCGCCAGGTGCCAATTGCAAGCAGGCCTGCTGAGCTAGAACTCACGGCTGCGGCCAATGGCAAACACGTAGCCTGATTTAGATTTTGTTTTTTGCATTCATGTTCTTGACGGTGGCTCAAGTTGGTATCTTTCTGACCTGACTTGGGCATGGTGCAAAGCAACGAAAAGAAAATCATGAACAATATCAAAAAGCGTGGTAGAAAAAGAATTCTATGTATCAAAAGAACAAAAATTAAAGTAGACTCAAGTGTAAGGCAAGAAAAACAAATTCAGAATTTATAGTGTGAGAGAATGAGTCTGATCTAGATGAGAAAAACAGTTTGCATGCAAATAATAAGCTCTAGGGCACGATCTGTGCCAAGATTTATGAAGATTGATGACCTGTTTAATGGGAGGGGAAGAGACCTTGAGCACACTGGATCCATGCCCACTGTAGATTTGGTATCCATGGGGAAGAGACTGTAGGTAGAGGAAGAGACCTTCAACACATCAAATCCACATCCATTATAGCTAGGGTAGAGGAAGAGACCTAATAGATTTGGTTTCCAAGGGGAAGAGATAGAGATTGATGTTCGGATTAGGTTTTTTCTCCAAAAAAAAAACAGACAGATTCTTAAGATGGGTTTTCTAAAGAAAGATGGAATTAGGATCGTACAATTTTAGCTATTTCTAAAACCAGGACATGGCATGATTATATGAGTTGATCTAGACCGCAATAATTCGGTCCCACCAGATGAACAGATGGTAATTTCTAATTAACACGGTAATTTCATGGGAGTCTCTAGCTATTTTTAAAACCGAGACATGGCGTGATTATATGAGTTGATCTAGACTGTAATAATTCGGTTCCACCAGATGAACGGCTGGTAATTTCTAATTAGCATGGTAATTCTAGGGGAGGTGGGCCTCTATTTTTTTTCAAGGTTGGGGGAGTCTCTAATTAGTAGAGGTACAGATATATAGATACATAGATACATAGATTTAAGGATGTGGCTAGATCTTAGTCGACCGAGACTTAACCAAGTCATAAAATATAGTAAAAGGGAAGAAAGAAGAATTCTAAAAGAAATTTTGCACGGATCTTCACATAAGATCTAACGAGTATAGTATTAACTGAGATTTGGTTAAGTCCCAATCGATCGAGATTAAGTAAGAGAGAAGTTCATGTTACAACACTGAACTACCATCAAAGTCTAAGATACAGCCATGAACTCTAAAACCGTCCATTTTACAACATTCAACTTCCAAAACTGGATAAAAACCAACCCTAAACCGGTTTTGACGGTTGAACGTCCAGTCAGCCCGCCACAACATCCAGCCACCCAACCCTAGCCCACCTAAAGGCCCACTTCTCGCACAGCCTGCCCAATCGTCCTCCACTTCGCTGCCGCCGTGAGCCCGTGATGCGTGGAAGACGCGGGCGCTCCGCGACGCCACACCGCCGCCCGCCTCTTTCTCCTCTCCTCCCTCCTCCTCACGTCTCCTTCCTCTCCCGAGCGCGCAGCCACACGCGCCCGCCTCGGCCAGCCCCGCCGCCGCCATGGCAGGCTGCCGGACCGTCCCCACCATTCCGCCACAAGACCACCTCGCCCCGCCGCCCTCTGCCACCTCACAGCACCGCCTCCATGCGCCGGCCGGCGCCCGAGGCTCCCCTGTATGCCTGCGCCGCCCGAGACAAGCCCGCCTACTTGCAGCGACCATCGACGGCCGCCCTCGCAATACGCAGCCACCGTGGCCAGCCCTACACCTCGCTGCCCGAGCCACTGTTACGCCATCTACCTCCGTCCAGCAGTGGAATGTAGGGGCTGGCTGCAGGTGCCGGGGTGCCTTCCGCTGCCACATCGCCGGAGCTCCACCCTCGTCCGTCGGCCTCCATCGATGCTCTCCTCTGCCGTGTCCATGGCTGGTTTGAGTGAGGAAACATTGTTTTATTTTTTTTCTGGGTCCCGCATGAAAGTGACTGGCTAGGTTGACCGGGATTACTGACTATACAGTCAATGGGTCAAACCCAGTCAACAGGGTCAAAACCAGGGTTGGGGGAGGGGGGTTGATTCATGAACGGTTTTCAGAGTTTGGTTGATTTTTGGACGGTTTTAGAGTTCAGGGTTGAAACTTTGACTTTGGCGGTAGTTCGGGTTCCTGATAATTTAATCACCTAATCAGTGTTTGCCTATTTCCAAAGCAAGGGTCCTTACAAATAGGAAATTTCAGATTTTTAAAGTAGACCAAATAAATTGAAAAGAGAGAGTATCCAGCGTGAGCCCCCAAATTCAAAGACCAGGGTTCTTAGTTTCCATGAATTATAATCTGAATTCGTCAAAGCCCCCAAATCCAAGGACCCGGGTTCTTGGTTTTCATGAATTAATCTGAAAACAAGGGAGTATCCATCAAAGCTCACAAACCTGAAGATCATGAATTAATTGTAAGCTCTCAAGGAACAAAAGTAACCATCTTTTCTTGCTACCGTCTGCATTGACAAAGTAACTGTGACTACATTCAGGGGAAGATTCCTGATATGTCCTGGCAGCCAAGAACAGTAGAGGCTGACAGGAAAATAGTTTTACCGATGGCCAAATGGTAGAAAAACTATATTTGCGTGACAGGTCGCTTCCAACAAAATTATTCGTGTGGTTGTTTGTGGTTTTGCTTTAATTTTGGCTCAGCGTTATCCTATTTCACCTATGATTGAGGGACATGTCAACTGTTAATGGGTTGCGAGTTGTGACTAACGACTCTCCATCTTTTGTATTTTTCAGGTGCATGCCTCAGGCCGCTTGATATTCTCAATAGCCGCCATTTTCTAATCGTAGTAGGAGTCGTAGGACTACTAGGTTATACAATATAAACTCCAAACTCCTAAGCTAGGCTGGACCATATACATGCAGTGAAGGTAATTGAAAATTGGTGATTTTTTTTTTATTAATGGTCGTCTCATTTTCTGATCGTACTAGTATAAGATTTGATTCAGTTAGTCGTACATGAATACTGCCGGCTGGCTGTAGCAGTCTTGTTGGCTTAACTAACTCAATCATGCACCGTTTGCACTTTCCTTATCCGTCCCTGTATGCAATATGTGTCCTCGAGTGGCGTCCTGATCCTGGCTAGCATCGCAGGTCTCAATCACTTGCTTCACCCAGCATCTTGTTCTAATTCCCTTCCCTCGATGTGCACACTGCAAAGTGGATCATCGTTGTAACACATAGATCGTTGCGAGCAGTTTCAATTCATTCGGCGAAAAGGTTAAAGCTCACCCTCACATTTTTCATTCCTCTTTTTAGAGAATAAATTTTTTTGAGTCTCTTGTTCTCTCCTTTTTCTTTGCACTCTGATTCATGTTCATTCCACGTAGGTACAACGACAGAGCAGAGAGAGAGATATATATATAGAGAGAGAGAGACGATGGCTGACCTGGCCATCGGGTTAGCACACGGCGCGGTAGACTCGCTACTGGGACGCCTCACCAGGCTCATTGAAGACGAGGCAAGGCTGCTGAGCGGCGTCCACAGCAACGTCCAGTACATCAAGGACGAGATGGAGAGTGTTTATGGATTCCTCCTCAATTTCGTTGATGGCGACTGCACGGACCCGCAAATGGAAGTGTGGACGAAGCAGGTTAGGGAAGTCGCCCGTGAGTGCCAAAACTGCGTCGACATCTACGTTCACAAACAAGGTCCTGCTGCCGGTAAATTTAAAATTGGAGATTGTATCCGTACAATGATGCACAGTTCTCCTCAGTTTTCTCCTCGGTCAGAAATTCCCCTCAGGATGCTGCCGAACCGGCACAGGCTCGCCACAAAAATCAAGGAGCTCAAAGCAAGGGCTCAAGAGGTGAGCGAAAGGCGCGTTAGGTACGGCATCCGCGATCCTACTGCTCGGATGAGGAGGGAGAATCAACTTCAGGAAGTTGGGGAGGACACCAACGGGAAGGAAGACCCCAGGAGCCTGCATTTGTTAGGCGAAGAAGATGAGTGCCCAGCTGAGATTTTTGAGGGTGATATGAAGATTCTGGTATCTTGGTTAATTGAGCAAGAGACACAAACGGATATGCTGGTGGCCAAGCAATGGACTGGGCCAGAAGGTGAGGTGCCATCACAGGAAATTCCCATGGGGGAGTGGACAGAGAGCAAGGCCGACTCAGTTTCAGATGCGGGAACGTCTTGGCAGGGGAGGAGCAAGAGGAGGCCAGGTGTGGCAACAGTGGCCTCAAAGAGATTGATGTTGCGCTCGATGTCCAGAAAGAAGATCCTAGGCCTCAAAGAGCAGCCGGCTCAGCTACAAGACAAGATGCGACAGCAGGATTTTCAGCTGGGATGTATTACAGGGTCAAGAGACAAGATGCCACAGGAGAATTTTCAGCTGGGGTGTATCACGGCATCAAGAGACAAGATGCCACGGCAGGATTTTCCGCTGGGGTTTATCATAGGGTCAAGAGACAAGAAATCAGGTCCCAAGGTCATCTCAGTTGTGCAACAGCGATCATGTGATCACAATCAGAATTATGCACGGAAAGTGTATGAACACAGTCAGATAAAGCATTTCTTCGATTTCACATGTTGGGTGACGGTCGGGGAAACTCACGTCGAATGGGTATTTGATGACATACTCAAATCCATGGCATCTCACAAGACGGGTTTGAGAGGTTGGCAACAAACCAAGTATTTAGTCGTTCTTGATGATGTCTGTGATGAATCACTATACCGCCAAATCATATCTAGATTCCCTTGTACTGCTGCTGGTGGTCATTCTGCAGTTCTAGTGATCACCCACTCATATGCTCTAGCCCGTTCCTGCTCTCCAAATATCTTCCCGCCTCTAGAGCCTCTTGTCAAGTTCTTCTTTGGCAAAGCGGGTTGCCTTGTTGAGAATAATCCCAACAATTACACCCTGAAGCAAGTCATTTGTTCCATTTTGTCAAAATGTGCACCCAGTCTCTTGTGCCTCAAGGCATTCTTACATGTTCTCTATGTCAATCCTATGAGGAACATAGAAGAGCTTCAGAGCCTCTGCAACGACCTAACCAGTGACTCTCCTGGCAATATTCGGCACGTCTTAATGTTCTGGTACAACAGCCTTCCACTCCATTACAAGAACTGTTTGATCTATCTATCTATCTTCCCCCAAAATGATGGCAATATCAGAAGAACGAGCTTAGTCAGGCGATGGGCAGCTGAGAACCAGATCACCGGGAGAAACGGGTCAGCTGCACAGGATGAAGCTGAGCGCTGCTTCAATGTGCTTCTTGCAAAAAGATTTCTTCTTCCCAGGGGCATTGGTGCTGCAGGGAAGGTCAAGAGCTGCAGATTAAATGGTTTGATATCAAAGTTCATCAGCGATTTTGCCAGTGAAGAGCAGTTCGTGGATGCAGATCTCCAGCCGGATTTCGGTTGCCGGATATCCATTCAAAATAGAAGGCAAGTGCAACAAGTCTTAGGGACAATTCAGGCATCTCGTCCCAGCTCCAGTCGGAACATTCGCAAGCACTCAACTAATAATGAAGATGGTCAAACCTTGGACGACCTTACCAAGTTCCTTGAAAGACTGCCCTCATTTGCTCGGCTGGGGTTGCTTAGAGTCCTGGATCTCGAAGGCTTTGATGGTTTGCAGGATCACCATGTGGGCAACATCTGTGAGATATTTCAACTAAGATATCTGAACCTTCGGAGGACTAAGATTACCAAACTGCCCAGGGAGATAAAGAATCTTCAGCAGCTGGAAACACTGGACATTCGTGAAACAGCTGTAAGATCATTTGGTAAAAAAGTTGTAGTGCTTCCAATGCTAAAGAATATGCTTGCTGGGTGCACCAAACACCCAAACGAAGACATGGAGCCATTTTCCACGGTGTGCATGCCTCTTGAAATTGGTAATATGACAAATCTGCAGATAATGAGCCATGTTGATGTTTTGGGCCAAGAAGATGAGCTGATTGAGATTGGGAGGCTACAACAGCTTAGAAAGTTAGGTGTTGTATTCCGAAGCAACATAAATAATTTCAGGCACTTACTCCAGGCAATTGAGAGGCTGAACAAGAGCCTCCTCTCTCTCTCACTCCGTGTGGAAACAACAGATGACCACGAGATTACAGACATTAATGCAGCAGAGCCTACAGCATTCTCACCGCCAACATATCTTCAGAGCCTAAACCTTTGTGGCGTCAGGGGAGGATTGCCTCGTTGGATCAAGGAGCTCCACAAACTTGTAAAGTTAACTCTGTGTGAAACACATTTGGAAGAAGAAGACATGGTACCCCTTGGCGAGCTCAGTGGGTTACGCTGTCTCAGGCTCCGGCACAAGTCGTATGTCCAAACCAAGTTGACCTTTCAGAAAGGAGCATTCAAAAGTCTTGAGTTTATTCTGATAGAAGGATCAGACATTACTGACATCAGCTTCCACGAGAACCCCAAGATAGAGAAGATAGTTTGGAACTTCAGAGAGATGAAATCAATTCACGGAATCAGCCGCCTTCCACGCCTGAACCATCTTGAGCTTATTGGCAACTGCAACCTGACTGCTATCAAAAAAGCACTTTCCACACATCCAAACCAGCCTGTCGTAACTCACACTGGGCAGGAAATACACGGTGCGGGCGAAGATGAGTAGAGCCACTTGAGTGCGATTCTTGGAGAAGGCTAGCTGCTCGCCGGGAATCATCGGATTGCATTATGCGTGTGTGTTTACTTCCTACGTTTGTTTTCATGTGTGCTGTTTCAAAATAATCTTGCAATGGTTTGCCTCTTAAATTTCCGTTCCAAACTTTTCATGGTTTGATTTGCTTTATCTTAAATAAGTGAGACATCAAGACGAACACCCAATGTATCAGATTTGATATTTATGTATTGAATTGCGGCGGTTTCCCTTATCTCCTTGACTGATCTTTATGTCGTTATGTTTTGCGTGACAATTCTTCAGAACCTGTACTGTTTTATGACAGTTTGTAATGAAACAGGGGGCACTGTCCTGTGAATGTTCTTGGCATTCGTTTACTGGGTACATGAGTATGAATGCAGCGCAGCGGGAACGACTATCAGAGGCCACCGTGCATGTTTAATTCTGGTGCATTGAGGTATTGGAAAGGCACTAAAAACTACAAAATTTACAAGGTCAGTCATAATCATTTGCCCAGAGTTGCCATCCCGTGTTCCAGAAAAGATTCCAAGTATCCCATAAGGTTATTTCTCCTTTTTCCTAAAAGAAAATAAGATCATTGAAATATGATCGCCGGCGTTGGGAGAAAAGACGTGATCATGCCTATGGCAACTCAAGTAGGATTGTAACAGTCAAGCTACAAGGATTTCATCTTGGGGATACCAACATCATTTGGGATGTCTTTATTATTTTATTGGGGATGTTTTTACTATTGAAATCTGTTTTTTTAGGGAATACTATTATTGAAATCTGGTGACACCAACACCTAGTTGAGCATGCCTCCAGAAAAAAAAACGCGAGGGCCATTATCGGAGACGAGGAGAAAGAGACACCCAAGGAGAAAATGGCGCCTAGGTTGTTTTTTCTTATGAGAGGGTTTTCATCTTCTTTTCTTTACTGACGAGAAAACCTGTTTGCGGTGTCGTACATGGGCCACACGAAAATGCGTGCGTACTGGATAGACCAGGCCGAACGAGGCCGTGGGCTGGATTGGATTGCGCGCCTCACCGTCACAAACAAACCCGCCCGTGCTGTCCTCGCCAGGTGGCACCTTCCAGAAGATTCCTTCCGCCTCATCGGCATCGTGCTGCGCTCCTTCCCCCTCCCTCCCTCCCATGGCAATGGCATCCGCGCCGAGCACCACCGCGTCCACCCTCGCGCCCCCCCTCCGCTCGCCCCTCTCCTTCTCCTCCTCCCGCCGGCTCCCTTCCGCCGCCGCGCCCCCTCGGGCGGCGGGGGCGCTCCTCCTCTGCCGCGCGCCCGCGCCCGCGCGGGGGCTCGCCCTGGCGCGCGTGCGGTGCCGCGGGGCGGTGAAGCTGGTCGGGGAGGGCGAGTTCGAGGCGGAGGTGATGCAGTCGGACCTGCCCGTGCTCGTCGACTTCGTCGCCGACTGGTGCGGGCCCTGCCGCCTCGTCGCCCCCGTCGTCGACTGGGCCTCCGAGGTACGCACGCGCCGGCTGCCTCCTGGTTTGGTAGAAAAATGCCCCCGCTGCCTCCTCGTGTTCGTCTACTGACTAGAGACTCGCAAAAACACCAAACCACACCACACAGAGCACACACAAGTCCAATTTTTTGAGTCACACTATGAATGGCGTGGGAATTAATGTCCGCAAGTCCTTGGAAAGCTCTGTGACCACCATGGCAGCACTTCAGCAAAGAAGGGGAAACTCAGCGGTTACCAGCAACCTGACCTGTCACAACGTCTGTAAATATATGAACTCCATGTTGTTGGTAAAAGAAAGGGGAATTCATTCAGCAGTTCCAAGCAATCCCTGCATTTTGTGGCTTCTTTCATCTGTACGCCTTACTTACATACAGTACAAGAGAAGGGAAAGCTGCCTTCAAAGTGAGTCTATAACAAGTAGTACGAGAACAAAGGCCCAAAATGCTTTGCCAAAAGCAATGGCCTTAAGGAATCCTAGACACTGTAGGGAATTAGAGAGGTAGCATATGATTGGTAATGGCTGTGAAGATAAGAGCAACATTATGTTTACACTGCATAAGACTAACCATAGCGGAGACACTTAGTTTGCATTTTCCAACATTGGTATTTTTAGCTGTCATGGAAAACCCTCTGATCAACTGACCAATGTTTGTAGATATCCATGTGCAGATGTTCTATATATGAAAAAACAACTAGTTATATTGCACATAAACCACTCTTTTTTCTGAACAAAAAGCAGGTTAATGGTACATTTAAATGTTCGGTATGGTCTAAAGAATTTTGGAGGGAAGTCTGTTTTTAATTCGGATAACCAGCTCTAATTTGGTTTTTATTTTGTGAAACAGGAATATGAGGGGAGATTAAAGATTGTCAAGATTGACCATGATGCGAATCCTCAGATCATCGAGAAGTACAAGGTTTACGGTCTCCCGGCGTTGATCCTCTTCAAGAACGGGCAGGAGGTGCCAGGGAGCCGAAGAGAAGGCGCGATAAACAAGGCCAAATTCAAGGACTACATTGAGCCTCTCCTGGAGACCTCAAATGTTGCCTGATATCATCGCCTGCAGTCTGCAGGACCGATTCTTGTAATGGTTCACACTTTAGAGGATGCCAAATGGCACTGGCTTGGCTTGAGCTTGAGCTGCACAGCTTGCATATTGAACAGTTTTTCCCACTCCATGAGCTCAGCCTGTAATTACTAATTACCTACACGATCAGGACTATGTATGGCTTCATTGTATGGAAAACAAATTAGCATATATGAAGAGCTATTCATGAGTATGTACACTTATTTAATTGTTATTAAGCAAGGTCAATTAATAATTGTTTTGGCCTCTACAAGAATGGATAGTCGTTGATCACATTAGACTCTTATGCCAGTTGGATCATGCAGAAGTCCATTCAGGAAAACTGCCAATTCACTTCCATCCAAGCCAAAATGGCATTCACTCAGATAACTGAAATACCTACTGTCCTCTGAGGCCTGAAGCCTTTCAGTACAGAAAATGATCCAGGTGTTTCCATCAGGAAAAATGTGCATTTTGCGTTATTGTTCATGCTGTGCAAGCCTGGGCACTCTCAGTCTCGGGCATGGACTGCAACCAGGTAGACCCAGGCAGCTTTATGACTTCTCTGTCCCCCATGAGCCCTCTCGACCTTCCGGCGCCGCCCCAATCGTGCCGACCCGCGAGCGTCCTTGACAGCAGCAGGTACGTCGACGGGTCTTCCTTCTCGAGCGCGAGCGCGCGCTCTGCAGCCTGCTTCGCTGCGGCCTCATTGCCATGGAGCTGACAGGCGCCGAGCAGCGCCTGCCAGACCAGAACCCCGGGGCGGAACGGCATCCGCGATATCAGCTCCTCGGCGTCCTCTATATGTCCTGCCTTCCCAAGGAGATCGACCATGCAGGCGTAGTGATCCTCGCCGGGCTTGATGCGGAACTTGTCTGTCATGGCTCTGAAGTATATCCAGGCTTCCTCCATGAACCCGCCTTGGCTGCAGGCATGGAGGACGCAGAGGAACGTGACGTGGTTTGGCGCGACGCCTTCCAGAAGCATGTCGTCGAACACCTTCACGGTGTCCTGAGGTTGCCCGTTCCGCGCGAACCCCATGATCATCGTCGTCCAGGATACGACTGGTCGCTGCCGCATCGACTGGAACACCCTGTGCGCGGTGTCCACCAGGCCGCACTTGGAGTACATGTCGATGAGCGCATTGTTCACGGCGACATCGGAGCCCTCTCCCAGTCTGATGGCGTATCCATGAACCTTGCGCCCTTCGCTCGGACCGGCGAGGGTCGCGCAGGCATTGGCTGCCGTCGCCAATGTGTAGTTGTTCGGCCTAATTCCTTCGAGCATCATGGGACCAAGGACTCCGATGGCCTTGGCGGGCTCACCGCAGTGCAGCCAACCGGCGGCCATCTCCGTCCACGACACGACGTCTCTCCGCGGCATCTCGGCGAACGCTCTGGCGCCGGACTCCAGGGCCCCGTTCTTCGTGTACATCTCCACCAGGGAGTTGCCCACGCAGACATCGTCGCCGAAGCCGCTCTTGACAAGCTGTCCGTGGACCTGCAAACCGCTCACCGTGTTTGTGTCCACCGTCAGCCCCGAGAGCACGGTGCTGAACGAGAACCCGTCGGTCCCGGCGCCTTCCCGGGCCATCCTCCGCCAGAGAAACCACATGCGCGTGCGCGAGCGGCCGCGAGCCCGGCGAGCAGCGTGTTCCACGAGACGACGTCGCGGCAGCGGCCGGAGGCCCACTCGAACAGCCGCACGGCGTCGGCGAGCCGCTCGTGCCGGACCATCGCGGCGAGGAACGCGTTCAGCACGAAGGCGTGGGACTCGAAGCCGAGCCGGACGGCGAGGGCGTAGAGCTGCCGCGCGTGCGCGCCGCCGGCGGGGGCGACGAGCGAGCTGGCGTTGAGCGCGCTCACGAGCGCGAACCCGCTGGGCGGGGCCCCCTCGCGGCGCATCGCGCGGAAGAGCGCGAGCGCCTCGCGGGGGCGGCCCCCCTGCGCGAGCCCCGAGACGGCGGCGGCCCAGGAGACGGCGTTGCGGCGGGGCATTTCGTCGAGCAGGCGGAGGCCGTGGCGGCGGGGCCGGAGCGGCGACCTGAAGTAGGCGATGAGGAGGTGGTTTGCCAGGAACTGGTCGCAGGCGAGGAGGCCCGGCTTGAGGATCGCCGCGTGTAGGGAGGCGATGCGGCGGGGGTCGGCGGCGGCGGCGGCGGCGCTGCGCTGGAGGATGGCCGCGTAGGCGCGGGACTGCTGGCACGCCATGGCCGACGGGTGCGATTTGTCATGCGGTTTTGTGCGAGCGAGGTTTCAGAAGACGTATGTGAATATGGGTGTGGGAACCTGTCACGTTAACAGCTTCAGCTCTCGATTTGCGCAAGTTTCTCAAATGTGTTTGCACTCGTGGTAGATTTGCAAAAAGGAAAAAAAAGTACTCAATCCTATAAAAACATTTTTTTTAACACAATACATACGCAGACGCTCACCCCTATGAACACATGCACATCATCTTGAGATTGACGAAGTCGTCACAGACGTCTTCGTAGTCAACGAGAATGTCTCCTCCCACTGAATGGACATTGCTGGAAGGTCTAGAATAAAATCAGGAAAATGCGAGCACCAATGGCACCAATGTCAACTCTATAAGTTGAACTCTTGTGGGCTGGGAATACCACTGTCCTCATAATCATCTAATCACTGGTTGATTCGCAATTCTGTAAAAACAGTGATCACTAATTTATGCAGAAGTATATGCATTGCCCTTGTAAAATTTAGTTAACTTTTATCTTGCAAAAATGTTTCATACCCTCTCCATTCCAAAATGTGGTTGGTATTTTTTTCCTCTAAATTAAAGCTTTGTCAACTTTGACCCAGTTTATTAATTACCTATAATACCAAATGGATATCATAAATGTCATTGCATACAACATGGGTTAGCTTTTATATCGTATTAATTTGATACTATTAATGTTGGTATTTTTCTCAATAAACTTGGTCAATCTCTACAAAGTTTGACATTTATAAAAAATATATGCATAAATGGAACAAGGGGATTAGTAATATGCATATATTTAGAAAAAAAATATGTATACACAAAGGGAGATCATAACAAAAAGAATCACCTTCTCTATCTGTTTTCCTAATTCATTCATGTTCACGAGCAGTACCTGCTTTTCGTGTGGCTGTGACCCTTTCAGTAGCCTTGTACTTGCAGTGATATATTAAAGCATCCCTAGCAGATCCGGTATAAGTTATCAAAGCCTTATAATTTTTGCATTTTACAGTTTTGGTCGAAAAAAGTGTCCAGAACAGAAACCGTAAAAGTGGTCCAACCTGTAAATTTTTTAAGGGCCACCGAAAATGCACAACCGAAACCCTTATATTTGAAGGTTGGAAGGCCGAATCTAGGGGGCCCCGTATACCGGTCAAACCTCGTAGGAGCAAACTCGTTGCCGTGAAGTTTGCCGGAATCCACCCTAAACTCACCGGAATTTATCACCGCACACCGGAAAAGGCGCTAGACGCCACAATCAATTGCCACCGGTTCGAATTGGACAAGCTCGACATCGTCGTGGCCTCCCATGACCTCAACCTGGCCGCCGGAATCCTTCCAGCACGGCAGGCAAAGGGGCACGGCTCGGCCGGCGCGGCTTGCAATAGAGCAAGGCGCGGACGGCGGAGGCGACGGGGCGTGGCCGACGAGGCTAGGCGCGGTCGGCGTGGCGATGGGGCGCGGCCGGCAGGGACGGGGCGCGGCCGGCAGGGACGGGGCACGGCCGACAGGCGACAGGGCACGGCCGTCAGACGACAGGGCACGGCCGGGCGACGGGGCGCGGCCGGCTGGGGCGACAGCGGCCGTACTGGAGGAAGGAGCTCTTTATCCTGGTTGCACAGTTTGTTTTATGGTATCTGTTCGGCCGTAGCTAAAACGAACCCTTAACACGTATTTTTTTCAATCCGTATCTCAGTTTTACAGTTTGCGATTTTAAGGGGTCTGCTAGAGATGCTCTTAGAAGGGCTTTGTACAGCCCCACTAAGATATGCGCCGATATTTTATAGTATTTTTGTTTTATGGCCACATGTATTTTTCATGTGGCGTCAAGTAATTAGTTAACTTTGTATATCCTAACCACCCGACATAAATAAGCTTGAAGTATACTATAGACATCTCAAAGGAGCCATACGTGAGCACATTTAAAATGAGGATCATATTCCTAAACAGTAGGAAATATATTCCAAAAAAATATTATCCAAAAATATACACTCTTTGTAAGAAAGTGGCTACATACGGGGTAGGCAGTCCTGTGGATCATTCTTCAATACGTCACTGGGCAGACATGTGGCAGGGAGCAACTACAATAGAAAATAGCCTTGTGGTAGAAGAATAGAAAAATCCATCCTGGGCCGTCAGATCAAAGATGGATGGCCCATATTCTAGTGGAGACATCCCAGTCCACTTCATGGAAATTTTATGGAAAACCCCCTGCTAATATGTAGATATAAAACACATTTTTTACAGTAATCACCTCAACTTTCTCATATTTAATCATTTTGTCCTTAGTAAATAAGACTAATTTTCAAATCCTCTCAACGTTGAGGCCCCATCTTTGCACATATCTGTTGCATGTATACTTGAGAACAAATAGTGGCTTCTACAAGCAAAAATTGAACATGTTGGCCCCTAATTTTTTTGCCAACATCCATCACAATATTTGTAAACACATTAAATTTATGCCATCTCATTCAAGTGTGTCAAACTGAACATCCCAGACAAATAGTTGAGCACACGTCAAGTTAGACCATCCCAGGCATGAAGATCTGAGTAGATGTGAAACTGGACCATCCCACACATAAATAGTTGAGCACACATCTAGTTAGACCATCCCAGGCATAAAGATCTGAGTACATGTGAAACCATCTCAGGCACAAATATTTGAGTACATGTCACTCTAGAGTCTGGACCATCTCACTCATGCAATGATGCTGATGGGTGCAAGGCGGGAAAAGGGGGGATAGTGGACCGTCCGAGAGAGACATCAG